AAAGGGTCAAGTGCTGCTTCTTCCCATCGTAGTTTTAAGCTTTTGATTGGAAAAAAGCTTGCCTGCTTTTTTTTTTTTTGTGGAAAATCTGTGGAAAAACTAGTCACTCCTTTTCTTGATAATACAGGGAATTTGCTTTTCCTAGAATAGAAAAATACATTGAAAGGGATTATCAAATTACTTGAAGTCTTTTTTTTTTTTTGTCTAAATTTTTCTGTCCTTTGCAAGCACGCTGTTAGGCAAGATTTGTCAGTAAGTTCTGATGGAGTTGGTCCCTCCCTGTGGCTGCTGTCTTGTCTTTGCAAGCCTTTCCATCTGTATTCAGCAGTTCTTTCTCCTCCTTCATCCACCCACGTCACACTTCGACGTAAAAATCTCTGCCCCACACGACAGTGTATCGCTAAGCTGACAGCATGTGACTATTACTATGTTTGTTCATAAATACAAATATCAGCAATTACATTCTTCTGTAAGATTCTTATCTGTGAGTTAGAGTGGCGTAAGTCTAGAGTGCACAGCAATAACACGAGTTGTAAGGCCTATCAACTGTAGAACTTGTATTCTTTCCTTATAAAAGACGTAGTAAGGTATCCTCTACTTTTTTCATCCTATTCCTATAATCACTGCACTATAAACTAGCATAAAAATTATTTTATCAATGTTTCTTATTTCCCAAAGGTGGGAGAACTGTTGACCTTCCCCTGTTTATTGTATGGCCTCAACTTAAAATTAAGGTGCAGGTGGAGAGAAGGGAATGCTTACTTATTGGATTGATTCCATACTTAATATGTGACATAGCTTTAGTCCCCAGTATTTCTGGCAAGGACCTATGCTGATGTTAACGAGGCTTCTTAAAAACTGACAACGGGCACCTAAGTCTGAACTATTTTAACATCAGTAGGGCAGATAGGTAGCAGTGAAAATTCTAGCCAAACATTGAGCATAGATGTTTCTTTGAGAAGGCAAAGATGGAGAACTGACCACGACTACTTGCCATGCAGACGCTGTGCCAAGGACAAGGTAAGGCAGCTGATTTCAGGAACTTGCAGCACAGTGACATATTTAAGATAAACGTTCCACAAGTTACTAAAATAAACTACTGTGTCTTTACAGCACTGCATTTTATGTGACAGTGTGCTGTACAGCTTAATGTAGATTGGACTATGATAAGGCTGTTAGTAACCAGTTTTGCTTCCGAAGAGCGAGTTGAGCAAAATGGAAAGTTCACCCAATTTTCTGATTAGGCGTTTGAAGGTTATATAAAAGAAATTTGTTCCAGTTTTGAAATGACCTTGGCATTTATTAGTTGTCAGACTGTTTTTTTGAGGGTTACAAGCCCAGCTGCCTCATAAAGAAGCAGTCTTTCTGGACATATGACATGTTTGAAAACCAGATTTCATCTTTTTCCAAAATTCTCCATTGCTAACAGTTGAATAGACTGTTGTGGGGCTTGGGTTCAATTTCCTGGCATTACCCACATAATGCCATACCAGCGTAATTCATGTGTCAGAGGACCTCAGAAGGAATCTTACTGTTCCACTTTATGACACAAAGAAGGATGCAATATCGGGGTCCTGCTGAAATCACTGGAGTACCCAAGCTGGGTTTTGAGGATATTACTCTTTTTAAGAACTTTGGCCATTGCCACATAGGCTCACCTGTAGAGTTCAGAATTCTAAGCCTTTAAGCTATTCGATGAGGATGCCAGGCCGTAGAAAAATAAAATATTTGCTTTCTTTATTCCTTACTCTTCAGTATATTTGTTTTCCCTAATTCCTTGCTACTTCACAAAGGAAATTAAATCTAATGGTGGGTGATGATTTAACGTCTTACCAGCTTCTATTGTGCAAGTATAATCTGACTCACAGTAGAAGAATTTTTCTGAAGTGTATATTTATTTTAAGCTGTTGGTACAAGATAATAACTTGGCCGATAATGGCTTATGATGTATAAAAACTTGCCACATTTTACTCTTGCCACACTTTACTGAACAGAGGCAGTAAGTGGCTGTTGAGGTTTTACTGAATTCCCTGTTCAACATTTCCAGTTCTGTATTGAATCTTGTGAACTACAAATTGTGTCCAGCGGAAGAAGCAATAGCAATTTGCCAAGGTTTATAAAGTTGCTCATGGATTAAAGTTGCATGTCTATGCATAGGGATGTATGTGGGCAGTGGTACCCCAGAGCAGTATTAACCATTGCAACTGCTGTAGGATTGCCTAGAAATTGGACCTACGAGATCATGTTCTGATAAGTTAGATTCCCAAGAATGTGGACACTTAATCATTTAGAATATTCCTTGCCAAAATCTAGATTGAGTTTATTCTTATCTTGCAGCTGCAGAAGTTTTTCAGAGCTGTAAGTGCTTCGGAAGTCTGCAGCCACTTGGAAACAGAACAATTAATGTCTTCATTGCATTGAATTTCCTGCTACCTATGTCATTCCCAAAGCACAGCAGCAGCCACGAGCAAGGCATTTTACATACTAATACCTAACCCTATGTTTTATACACTTAATGCAAGTTCTTTTCATCTACTATAGTTTCAGCTGATGAGGCTAGACGTTTTTAAAAATGATTAAACTGCATTCAAACATTTGCTGCATATCAGGTAGAGGGAAGAATTTTGAATACGGATCTTTTATAACAGTTTTTGAGAGCTAATCATTGAGGGGAAAAAAAAAAGAGGAGACTGGTATTCCTCAATTTGTCAAAAAACACTGATGGCCACATCTCATTTTTGGTTTTTGTAAAAACAAGAAAAAAATTGTTACATTCATTGGAATTCTATCGAAATTTTGTACCTTTGTATGAAAGTACAATTCTGGAGTTACCTGTTGAATTGTTTTTTCCCTGTTAAAAAATGAAACTTGAAATTTTTCTTTTATAATACAAATTTATATTTATCAGCATTAAAAAATTCCCTCAGCACTTGCATAACAAGTGTGTAAGCAAAACTAAGAAGGCTTATTTGTGCCCTGATTATCCAATCTCTGCTTCAGCACAGTGCTGTTGAACAAGAACCATGCTATATAAAGGGGCCTTGTGAGAAGTGCTCATTTTGACTTTGAAGCAGAAAGGTAAGTTTGACTTTTCATAAATCACAAGGTACTTCAGCTAGTAGGGAAACCTGTTCCATTCCATTTCTGTGGTCACGACATTTTAATTTTTTTGCTTTAATAGTGATTGGGGGGGGGGGGGGGGGATTGTGGTTTTTTTCACTTATGTTGGTAATTTTACTGGATGCAGAGATGCCTGAAGGATACCAGATTGTGGTGACTGATGAAGGTCATTAAAAGTAGATTAAAACTGAAGAGCTGTCTTTCCATTTTGTTATATAACTGATCAGAACTCTGGCTGTGCATCATGATCCAATTATGAGCTGGGTCCAGTAGTTCATTTAAATGCAGTTCCCTGAATGATCAGCATCAGAGGAAAAGTACCTGTTGTAATTGCATTCTCTTATCTTGGTGACATAAGTATTCCCAGCTACCTAAAGTAGTTTCTATTACAGCCTTTTATAATCTGCTCTCCACAGTCATTGACCAGCATTGTCAGAGGGATCTGTTAGCCTTCAACACACGAAATGGTAAACAAACTGAAACAGTTCAGATTGGGTGCTTGAAATGTGACAGAGCTTCAATACAGCATGCAGGTTCTCAGGTTGATTAGAAATGTACTTGTTAAAGTAGATAATCCTGGCCACGATGAACTGGCACTGTGGCTTAAGCTATGCATCTGTGCTAAAACTTAAGACATAAATGAATATTCTTAAGTTCAAGGGAATGTTTCACCAAACTGAGTTTGATGAGACATTTCTCTAGATAAAGAAGTGAACTTTGCTCTTAAAAATATTCAGTATTGATGTATACGTAGAATAACGTAAAAAGCCTTTTACAATAAAGTCAGCCTAGCAGATGAAACTGTTTTTTATGTTTTTAAAGCTCAATCCAGTTGTGCATATCCATTCAATAAATGGCACAAATAATAAACTGAGATTCTAATTCTGCTCTTCACATACGCTTTCAAACAAATTCCTTGTACTAACTGATGAACACCCATTTGTTAGCTAAAAGAATAGTACATGGTCATCTAATTGTAAAGTGTGAAGTCAAGGTTTGTATGAGAGTCAGCTCATCCGGGTCATCTCATTAAAACTGGATACTCATTCTGGCATCTTGAACCTGTCTTTCTCTCTCATTTTTAGCTGAGTAATGTTGATAACCGAATATCTCCATGATATAGCATCTTATTTTTCATCAGTTCAAGTTTTATAACCACACAGCATTGGCCAATGCTACAATGATCTGTGGTTTGACAGCACTTTTTACTTACGATATGTCAGCACGATAATTACGACCTTACTTAATGTTATGCCAGAAAGGATAAAATGAGATGAGAGGGCAAACATGATTTTTTGGAACACTAACTCAGACATCTTCAAGCTTGTAGAATTTAGTTCAAAAAAAGGACTGTAGTATCAATTGAGCTATAAAATGTTGGCCATGTGTAAAATGCTCTACCACTCCATCTATTTCAAATAAATGTGCCTAAGTCATATAGTGCTTAAAGAGATTGCCAAGTAGCTCCAAACCTTTGCAATGACTGCTGTAACAGACTGTGACTTTCAGGTTGGTGTCATATATGTCTATGTTTTGTTGAATGATTATAGATCTTATGAACAAGTAATGGGTTAAACTTGTTTGGTTCTACAAGAGCTTATTTCTCAAGGATTAATCCAATAAATAGTAATAGCAAAAATGACTATTTGCTCCCACTACTCCTAAATGTCTAACAGTCATTCTGTAGTACGTATGTCAGTCGATATCAGTCTAGAAACATTTATGTGGATAGGCTACAGTAGCAAAAGAAATCATATACCTTAAACTATACTTTATTTGAACAAGTGAAGGATGTAAATTTCAAGAAGGGAACAACAAAAAAAAAGCTATTCAATTCTATCAGCCCCTGCCTACATGTTTTACAGAATCACTGCTTAACAGATACGTGCATTTTCTTACAGCTTCCCTGAGCAACCATGTTGTCTTACTCATTCTGCATGATCGCAGCAGCAGTTGCTTTACTAATGCCTTGCCATGCACAAAACTGTGCAGAAGCTCCTGAGCTACCCAGTATCCCTGGAATTAGTGGACTGCCTGGTCTGGGAGGTAACAATAGCAGTGCTCTTCATGTACATGTACTATTAGTCATTACTCTTCAGTAAAAAAATAATTATTTGTTCTCTTTTTATTCAAAGTAAGACAATAGAAGATGAATTTCATTGTTTAGTGATTTCAAATTCTAGTAAATCCAGAGTGTGATTTTCTGCTCTGATCTTTTGTTGATAGTTCCAGCCCACAGCGAACTTTGCATTTTTGGAAAAACTCCTTGTTTTGAAGGCTAAATGACTGGCATGGAAGGGCATATGTTCTCAAGCAAGTGGTGCTGTTAGGCGGAGGGAAAAACCGAATGGAGGAAATATTGGCTTGATATTTTTCCTAAAAGCTAGACCTCCTCTCTTTTCTGTGAAGAGAAAAGCATAGTTTATCAATTATTAAGCATAAAAAAATAATATATGTACATATATACATACAGTGCTTTTCTATTGCCTTTCCAAAGGGAACTGCTTCTTCTACAGCAAAAGATTTTTTGTTTGAATAAAATATTATTCTAGTAGGTATTTACAAATGTAACAAAAATGTGCCTAGTATTTTTCTGCAGTGTTCAAAAATGATGCACAGAAAAGTATCTTTCTCAGGAATATAATTTGCATTGTGTAATTGTATTTCAGGTCCATTACTAGGCTGAAAGCAATAAAAAATTATTCATTATCTCAAACTGCAATTTGTTAGATTTAAGTTCTTTTGTTTGCTGAACATCCCCAGATGTTTACCCCTTAGAAATAAAATTATGTTCCTCTTATCCAGGTCTCAGTAGATACTTTGGAGGTCTGTTCCAGCCTTACAGAAAAGAGAAACTTCCTGAACGTCAGTGGTTACAAAGACAACAAGGTGAGAAAGGAGTGAAAGGGGTCAACAGCAGGTTTGCAGCACTAGGTGAAAGAGGCTGATCTCTATATAACGTTTTGTCAGAAAAGTGACTCCTTTTTTAAGTCAAATGTGTTATTTTTCACTAATGGTAACACGATCACAAAAGCACCCCAGTAATTTTTTAGTATGTTTAGAATCGTTGTTACTCGTGGAAATATGCGTGAAATAAATACCTACCTTTACAGTCAGTCCCAATCTTAAGCATCCAGTGCGTTTCAAACCATCTACATGGAAACCCTCCTGTATCAGTGTTTAGTTTCCCTTAAAATAAGGAGTAAAAACACAAAGCATCCATTCAGCAACGTAAAAATAAAATTGTAATCTAAATTTTGCTTGATGCCAGAGGAAATAGACCCTCTCCAAAATAGCCGTTGTGGCAGTTCAGTAACAATTATGAGAATGAAACAAGTCCTCTTAGTAAAGCCATGGTAAAATATTTTATCTTAGGACCTTTACACTCTTATAGACATGACATAAACTCCAAGCTATAAAAAATATTTTTTCTTTTATAGTTTTTAATAGGCTTTTTCTGCGTATAAGTAAATTTCTGAGCTTTTCCGAGGGCTGTGGGGTTTTCTTTGTTTATTTTGGTACAGATTAGTCAGAAAGTGACAAAATATTTTAAAAATATTTGTTTTACTCCAGGTTGTAGTTAAAACACATTGTACACTGATTAGTTTTGAAAAAAAGTTAGTTTTTTCCAGTGAGATACATTGAGTTTCGGCTGCGGGCTGATCTAATTGCAGCCTGTCAGTACCTAAAGGGAGCCTACAAACAGGAGGGGAATCAACTCTTTGAAAGGGTTGATAACAGCAGGAGAAGGGGAAATGGTTTGAAGTTGGAGGGCAGGGTGAGGTTGGATGTCAGGGGGAAGTTCTTTACTGAGAGAGTGGTGAGGTGCTGGAACAGCTGCCCAGAGAGGCTGTGGATGCCCCGTCCATCCCTGGAGGTGTTCAAGGCCAGGTTGGATGGGGCCCTGGGCAGCCTGGTCTGCTATTAAATGGGGACGTTGGTGGCCCTGCATGTGGCAGGGGGGTTGGAGCTTCAGGATCCTTGAGGTCCCTTCCAACCTGGGCCGTTCTGTGATTTCTATAACCAGAAGCTACCTTTTTCTGATTCTGTAACTTCTATTTTTTCTGTTTAGGTCTGTCTACTTTTGACGATGAACTCTACAATGTTTTACTGAATCTAAGACAACGACTTTTCCAGCTTGAAGGAGGTAGCTTTTTCATTTTTAATGTTTTAGCTCTCAATCATTTCCAGTGCAATGGGCAAAATTAATTACAGAATCAAGACTTGTAGAAAAGAAATCACGCTTGAAAAAATGGAACTGCATTCCAAAACTAGAACTTGCTGTGAAACATCACTGAGGTGTCCTAGGAATGTTGCAGAGCTTGTACTCATTTCCTGTAGTGCTACTAAGTTTTGGCCTTAGGTCAAGTAGACCCAAACCTTCAAAGATAAATTATGTTTCTTATTCCTACTACTGACAGTGCACAATAAGATGAAGTCTGTCTACACCATCTTAAAAAAAGAAATTGGCAGTTGGTTACCTATTAAGACTGTTAAGAATTAATTGAATTTACTTAGATGCTCTGATAATGCCCAGTACAATCAGATGTCCAGTAAGCAGCACAAAGCTTGTTTGGAAGACAGCCTGAAGCATTGCTTTGAACTTTATAATGTTCTGCATTTTTGAATTGCAAGGCAAGATGTGCTTAGGCATATGAGAAAAGGAACAGTAAAGAAAGGTATTTTCTTAGTGGGAGAGAAAAATGCAGACTTCTCACAGGAGCACTGAATACATTTATTCAAATTTTATTCCTATTTCCAAAAAAATCTGAATGGCATTGCAATTTCCACACAGATTCATGGAAACGCTTCACCCTTGTCGTCCACTGCTTTCATTTCTATCTACCAGCAATGAAATCATTGAAGGTCATGGAAAAGTTTTGTGTACTGAGTACTTAATTTTCTCTACGCCTCTTTTTCTTCTCTGCTTTCTCATCAGTATGCCACAAGAAATAAGAAAGTGAGCAAACACTTTTCTTTTCATGTTTCAGTGCTTGTTTTGAATGGGAAAATAACAAAAGTAGGAGAGAAAATATTTGCCAGCAATGGAAAGGAAGTCAATTTTTCATCTGCCCTAGAATCCTGTGAAGAGACTGGAGGAACTCTCGCAACTCCCATGAATGAGGAGGAGAATAAAGCTATTATGGGCATTGTGAAACAGTATAACCGATACGCTTACTTGGGTATTAAAGAGAGTGACACTGCAGGTCAGTTTAAGTACATGAATGGCCAACCTCTGAATTACACCAACTGGCAACAGTATGAGCCTAATGGCAAAGGGACAGAAAAATGTGTAGAGATGTACACTGACGGAAAGTGGAAAGACAGAAAATGCAACCTGTACCGCCTCACAATCTGTGAATATTAGAGAATGACCTTTCAGGCACCTGAGAACAAGGAGACCATGAAATACCCTGTGTTTCGTTCAGACTGACGCAATTTCTGCAATTATTCTATGTCAGAAAATCTAAAATGAATCATATTACTATATATTTTTATGCTTAAGAAAATGCCAAATGTAGAAGGTGATTAACTTAATTAAAATGTGCTTAATCTGATGTACTTGTCTGTCTTTTTGGAGAGCTGAGAGCTCAGAATTCATTGATCGCAACAGACTGTCCTTCTCTACTAGGTCTACATGAAAATTAGGGGAAAATTCCAAGGATAGGGTTTGGGTGTTGGAAAAAAACTGAAGATAAAATTACTTTTGATTGAAAACACTGTGAAAACATAGTGAAAACATTTCCACGTATTTCATAAATAGCGTTACAGGTCATGAATAGATTTCACTGGACCAATAATGGTCTTTGGACTTGAGTATCTCCTAGAACAATAAGGCTCTCCTAGAAAGCCTTAAGTGACATGTGTCGTAGTGAAGCATGCATTAATACATTTAGCACCTATATTTAACCATCTTTATAAAAATACTAACAGTAGTGGTTGCAATTAATTTTCTTATTTAAATCAGAAGCCATTCTCTGTAAAACACTGATAAACATTGCCTTTGATTTATGTAAACATATAAAAAGGTACGTAAGACACTAAAATTGCATTTTTTTCCTAAGACATCACATTCTCTCATAAAATTATGACCATTGTTGTGTTAAAAGGCCACTTGTCGTCTCCCACATAGCTGATCAAGCATATAGTATTTGAAGGGAGCAGATAGAAGTTCAATCAATTCAAACACAAACTACATCTCTACTCATGTCATGCCAATAAACCACAAAGACCACGATTCAAACCTCCTAGTATCAAGTAGGGAAGTCCTGGGTTCATCCTGGGCTCATTGTAAAACAACCTGAGGGAGAAAAGATAGTACTGGAATTAAATCACATACATAATACCTTTTACTTCATCTTTTCTTCCTTCCCCTCAACTGAGTCTGTGAAGGGAGCCTATATGAACCCGAACTTGACTTTGGGAGGTGTTTCCCCTGCCCTATCCTCGCTGTGAAAGGGATGGGGTCTGTCCAATGTGGTCATTTGAAGCTCCGTTGGGTAGGAAAGCTTTAGGATGTTCAGACATCAGCACAAGCTTAATCTGGTGGGAAAGGTCTTATGGCTGGTGTGCTGTGATGGACAGTTACAGGCTCTTCGGAAAAGACAGGCAGGTCACTAAGAGGGTGGTGGGCATGGGACAGGCTCCCCAAGGCAGTAGTCATGGCTGGGAGCTGCTGTTCAAGAAATGCCCTGGTAACGCTCTCAGACATAGTCTGATTTTTGGGTGGTCCTGTGTGGAACTAGAGTTGGACTCCATGACCTTTCTTTATGGATCACTTCCAACTTGGGATATTCTATGGTTCTATGACATGGAAGACAAGGGGAACTCCAGCTGATCTGAGAATGGATGTAAAAACGGGAAAAACACAATCAGCAGCATGCTGGATAGATTTCAAAATGTGAACACGCTTTACAAAATAGCATTCTTGGAGACCTATAATGACAATAAAAATTTTGGCAAAAATTTCAAATGGCAAGGGAACAGATCATACCATGAAAAAGATTCTGTCAGGTTACCTTGAGAAAAGATGGGGCTGAAGTAATAGTTTTTTACTCTTTCTACGTCTTACAAAAATTTGAAGGTTTACTTAAATCTACCTCTACCTTTAGGATTTTAATTATTGATATTTTAGTTAGTTATTGATATCTTATTAAGTAAACCTCATTTTGTCTTTTAAGCATATAGTTTCTTTGTTAGGGGAAGATGATCAAACATCATAAAACAACATCATGTTGGAGAAGGCTAAAAAAACAAATCACTCTACTGATGTGCTGATTTATTATCTGAAACAAATTCGCATGTTTGCTGCATAGATGTCAAGCTAACTTCAGAGTATTCTATTTGTTAAGCCACTACTTATTCCCATCACACCAATGTATACATGATGACCATTTAAGGTCCTTATTAAAATCCTTAACATAAAATCTCACATAACATACCATCTACCTCTGAGGTAATTTCCAGCCTAGGGTGATATCTTCTTTTATAACTGTGTAATTTAATTGGATGCTTTATCTTAGAAATACTATTACTGCTTTTGAGCACTCAAAAATCACTCCTCCCTCCCTGTGCACCAATCCCTCCCACATATAAAGAAACTGACTTCAGTTTACATCAAATAAGTATCTTTCAGTGTATTCCTGATTTTTGTGGAGAAGAAAAAGGTGGCTGGGGGGGGGAGGATGAAAACAAGACCCATGGTTCATCAGAAAGCTGAGGTCCAGTTCAACCTTGTGTGAGCATACTAAGTGACTGGATGTGACCTAGGGTGTCAGGGCTACCTTATATTGTAAAAATTGTGACCAATGCCTCCCTTATAGTTTTTATTTTTAATACTGAAGCTAGACTTCAGGAAGATTAATTACAATATTGCTCTGTTCTTTTCCAGGAGGTGAAAAAACACCAGTGTCCTGATGCCACGAAGTCCTACCAGTACTGCAAGTGCAAGGTAAGCTTAAGGTTAATCATACACTTCACATTTATTTAGCAGAACAATAATTGGAAAAGGGAGAAGAAATATTTGCCACCAGGGATATTTGTTTGCTGGTTTTGAAACCACACTGAAATGAGGCGGAAAAACTGATAGTCCTTCTAAAACTTTCATGAGCTAGAGGAAAACAATGTTCTTGAGAGTATTGTGTAATGGTAAAACAGACGTGTTTATCTGGATCTTGACGAGAGTCAGACTGTAAATAAATGTCATGTTGAAGTCTACTGTTTAAAACTGTATTACCCTACAGTTATACAAACACACCTAAATTTAAAGCGTGATCAATACAGGATGCTTGGAAATTAAAGTTGCTAAGGGGATTGGGATGTTAAGGGGATTGGACTTGAGTTGAAGTGCCTGGTAGGAAACCAGAGTTTGGTGGAGTTTGACTCAAGGGTGGTAGGCCAGGTATGGTGCCAGGTGAAACCTTAATGTAGCTTTTCACTCACCTCTCCTTCTGTGGCTCAGGAGATAGGAGGCTGTGCTGCACGAGCACCTAAGCACTTGAAGATGTTTCAGTGATTGCAATTATAGTCACAAGGACCGCAATGAACAACTGAGCTTTTGCTTGCAGACAATCGAGGACAAATGAAGAATATACAGAAAAACAGTTTCATCTAATTCATAAACAGGGTTTTTATTTTTATTTGCTTTTTTCCTTTTCAATTATGAGCAGAGATCAGTGTATGAAGTTAAAATATATTTAAGTCTTAATGCTGCTGATAAAATCAACAAAACACTAGGTTGAAGGTTGCCTTCCCAGTTGTCTATATCTTGCTGTATTCTTTGCTTTCTGATTTCAAAGCTCAGCAAGAACAGCCTGCATTCTCTGAGAAGTGCTGCTAGACATCAGAATTGAGAAACACTAGGCCCCACGTGCTCTCTGCTCTTCCCTATATTCCGTGGTATAAGGGAGCTGCTGAAGACAGTCTGACAAGGATGTTGAAGGCTACACAGAGAAAAGGAAATACAGAAATCAAGGGACAAAGTGGTAGTGAGATAGGATGGAAGTAGCAGCAGATCAGCACAAAAGCTATGTAAACAGAAAATATAAACGGACTTGGGGTCATTTAAATACAAACCAAGACAATAAGGAGGAAGAATTTTTAAGGTTACCTGTGGTATGAAAATCACCACGAAGGAAAAATATATAAAACTTTCAGGAGGTTAAGTGTATAGAGGAAAAGCTAACAAACAGGTGGAAGGAACACACACCCACTTTCATAAACTGAAATTCAACTCTAATGTCTATATTTCTCAAAGCAGCTAAGAAAGATGCACTGACAGACTTCTGTCCTCAACGTGTTTGATATTTGCCTACTTACGTTGTAGTTAAGTACACTGAACAAACTCTTAATCATCTTGATTTGCTTCACTAGCACTGTAGCTATAATGATAAATGTAGAAAAAATGCTGAATAAAATTTTCCAGTGTTCTAGAACTGTTTGTCCTCTGTTAGGTCCATATTCCTCAATCTCAAGGAGCTTCTGTTACACGCTGCTCAAAGCAAGATCAGAAAAATTTTACAAGTCATCGCAGTTGTACAGAACATTAGTCTAATTGAGCACAAACAGTGTAGTAAAAATGCAAGCATTGTGGAAATATTTTAACTTGCTCCTCCTTACCAACATGCTGATGAAAAGCAAGAGAAGAAAGGTTTGCCATTTATCAGATACACATCAGTTACTGGGCCAAAGTGACAGAAAACTTGCGTTTCTCCCCACGTTTCCCAGGCCAGCAGTCAGAATATGAAACTCACCAACAGGGGCCAAGCCTCACCTCCTTTTCACACCTGACTGACCTCTGGTTTCTCTCACACATGTGGTTGAAGTTCTCAAGCTGTTCTCATCCATGATCTCACCATGGATGCAAACGCCCATGATCCGCTAGTGACCTTTGCTTAAGTTCACCTGGACCCCAGGTAATTGCCTCAGTTTCTGTTTGTTTCGTGAAACAACCGGAAAACCTCATCCAAAAGAATGTTAAGAGGACTAAGTCAAACACTCAAAATATAGGAACTGTAAAATCTGATGAGAAAATTTAAGCAAAGATTACTCATGCAAATTTAAACTGGCTCTCTTCTACCGGGGCACGTACGACTGGCACAGCCTATTTATTTTTCACAGGGCTAGTGCCTTTCTCAGAACACTCAGTAAACACTGCTGTGGGGGAATTAATCTAGCTTCTGTGGGCATGACATCACTGACAGAGGACTCAAACTCAGCTGAGTTAAGTGTGAATATGCAGATCATACAGCGGACCTATGGAAAGGATGCAGACTTGCTTCAATGTAACAGCATCTCAGACCAGTATGGATATTGCTTTCCATCCCTCAACTGCCTTAGCTACTAGACTTCCTGTGCCATCTGGATGCTGGCCTATCACACAAAGATACACCTTTTTGAACTTGACCACAGCTTGAAACCCCCTTCCCAAAAGTCCCCGTTAAATACAGAAACTCAGCTGAGAGTAACTTAGAAATGCATGGCAATAACTTCCATTTCAGCAATGTCCCACGCTCTGAGGCCTCTACAATTACAAGACTGACACAGAGCTGCTTTTACCTTCACTGAAAGGCCACTATACTGCTGAATAAAATTGTTTTGCTTACGTAGGACAGTAGAATTGTTATTTATGATACATAAGCTTCCCCTGGAACATCCTGTTCTGTTACTTCTCAATAAGCTGCGGATGTAGCACTGTTTTCTCACTTTGAGGCTGTGCTACTATCTATTTAGATTCTGTTAAGTTACAATACTTCAGTTATCACAGACTGAGTTCTTACCAGTGATAATGAAAGCGATAGCACTGTAGGGATGTTCCTGGTGCATATTACACTTCAGGTTAACTCCACATTTTAGCTTATCTTCACTGATATTTACAATTTGACATTTACACAGCAATTCTCAGGATGCATCAGCTATTTCAAACAAGTATTGAGAAATTGCTTTGTTTTGTTCCAAGTTTATTTTTTTTTTCTTTTTAAGGTGTGAAAATGTTTCTGCAAGTCAGAAAAGTACCCTCAAATATTTTCCTCACACTTCAAGTGTGTTCAGCTCTTGAAGAAAACAAACCCCTGTCATTCAAGTTAATGACATTTCTATTCATATGCAAATTTGTATCACATTACGTGCTCTTGGTATTTCCCATAGATAAGAAGATGAATCTCAAGTTACTTGCACTATAAATTAGACCATTTTAATGAGCCTTCCCTATTTCATATTGGAGCTACCAGGTAAGTTGAATATCTTTAAAGAGGTTTCCATTTAAATTGTAAATTGCTCACAAACTTTTTCATTTTAGAGTTTTTCTCTGTCAGCACCATTTTAGCATTCTGTGACTGAAGATGTCACCTGAGGTGAAGATATTTTAACAAATGGATATTAATAATTGTTTCCCTCTTAAGTAAATTGACAAAGACCACGTGTCCTAGTTCACCTTACCCTTTCTCTTATTGAAGCAGATGAACCTGTTGCTCCTCTGTAAAACTAACACTAGAACTATAGCTTTTCCCATGAGAAAATTAGTATACAAGGGTATCTGCTGTGTAAAAATGGGATGGAAATGGGGAAGTTTGGAATTTTTTTTTGTTCCATAATCTCCTAACCAATGTAACTTTGCAACTGTCAGTGACATTCATACCACTATCTGATAGAAGGAACTTCAACCCCAGATAGCAAAATACAGAATTTCTCCTTTTCTTCTGTTTTTTTTGTTGTTGTTTGTTTGTTTGTTTGTTTTAACAGGGCTCTACACTGGAGAACAAAACTGATTGTTTTATCTTTGACTTTAAATAATGCCATCACCAGAGTTGTTCCACAAAATCTTGGGACTGACACTTCTTCTGCTCCCCTACTATGCTCAAGGAAAAGCAGAACAATTTTTTCCAATGCCCGGTTTCAGAGCAGAAAATGGGATGTCTCAAGCTTATTTACCAGGTGCCTGAAGTTACCAGTGCTACATGTACTGTTGTGTTTCACCTTTATGCTTCATAAACCCAGTGCTATGCTGTATGATAAGACGTGGGTTCTGCTTGGTAGAAAATAATCAGATTTTGTAAATTTCCTGTATGAAATAAGATGTTTAAATCTCTCCCACTCAGTTCATGTAAAGAAAAGGCTATCGTTACCCATAATACAAGGTGCAAGAAGCTTGTTGGCAGTATTAGGTTGGAGTTGTGGGGAAGCGCTCAAAGAACCTAAAGGATTCTGTTAGCAGTCCAAAAATACAATTAAAATTAAATAAACTTACTGTGCAATTGCTAGGCTTTTGTCTGGGCTGCCTCAAGACCCCAGTCCATTCATTTAAGTTTTTCCATAACTATCACTGCTCTGGCAAGGAGTTACCACAAATATATTCCTTATCCTTAGAAAGCTCAATGTCTGAAATGATCTCTAGTTTACAGCAGTAATCTGTAAAACAAGCTTTAAAAGTTCACATTAATTTCACACAATTACCTCTGCTTTATCTTAAAAGCCAAGATTTAAAATGCAACCCAAATTGCTAACAGCTGCTTTTGTTTATAGGTTTCCCATCAGTTGCTGGTAATGAAATAGAAGATACCATCCTTCAGTTAAAAGATCGGATTTCAAAACTCGAAGGAGGTAATTATCTAAATCTACTTTTTACAGTAGCTGGAATAAGGAACGTAAAGAAGATGAATGGCAAAACGTCTTGTAAGAAAAAAGCAGATTTTCCAGTTTTCATCGCATTCCCTTTATGTTGCTTGCTGATGCACAGAAGGGTTGTAACTTACAGACTGGGAGAAGAAGAGCATGTTGCTTTCTGTAACAAGTGGGAGATGCCTAGGTAGCAATTCTGAAGTTTGAGTGCAAACAAGTCAAGCTTATCAGAACCGTACCTATGCAAAAGTGCTCCCTGAGCGTTTCTTATGCCCCTAACTGACTGAAGACTAAAAACGTCTCAAAGTATTCACAATCTGGTTGTATCCAAGTTTCTACTCACTCGAGGACTGACCAATATCCATATACTCTGCAGGCCATCTCAGAAGGTTTATACAGTACAGAGCTAGAATGAAAGGGATTCATAGAGTATGTTATCTTAATGGAAAATTCCTCTTTTCATTCCCTCTTTCTCCAACTTCTTGTGCTTCTCCTATTTCATTGTCTGTATCATAGAATCATAGAATGGCCTGGGTTGAAAAGGACCACAATGACCATCTGGTTCCAACCCCCTGCTGTGTGCAGGGTCACCAACCAGCAGACCAGGCTGCCCAGAGCCCATCCAGCCTGGCCTTGAATGCCTGCAGGGATGGGGCATCCACAGCCTCCTTGGGCAACCTGTTCCAGTACCTCACCACCCTCTGTGTGACAAACTTCCTCCGAATATCTAACCTAAACCTCCGCTGGCTCAGTTTAAAACCATTCCCCTTTGTCCTACCACTATCAACCCACGTAAATCCATGTATAATTGTGTTTCTTACTTTTTTTTCCCCTCCCCTCATCTTTTCAGATTTATTCCAGCTTTTGGGGGTTGTCTCTATTCTCTGTTTTTTATCTTAAATTTTATGTTTTCATCTCCTTTAATTATTTCTGGATTTAATCTGAAGTCATGAGTAATAATAGTAGGAATTAAAATTGGCAGCAAGTTGACTACAAAACAGTCCATAAAAATTAACAACTTTTACCTGATCTTGCAGTCCTTCACTTACAAGGGAAGATAACAACATCTGGAGAGAAAATATTTGCTACCAACGGGAAAACAGCTGATTTCTATGCTACAGTGAAAATGTGCCAGGAGGCTGGTGGGTGCATTGCATCTCCAAGGAACGCAGATGAGAACGCTGCCATTCTGCACTTTGTGAAGCAGTATAATAGGTACGCCTACCTGGGGATAAAGGAATCTCTAATCCCAGGCAACTTCCAATTCTTGAATGGTGCTGTCCTGAGCTATACCAACTGGTATTCACACGAGCCTTCTGGCAAAGGGGAAGAGGAGTGCGTGGAGATGTACACTGATGGCACTTGGAATGACAAGAAGTGCAATCAGAACCGCCTTGTTGTCTGCCAGTTTTAGTGCTTTTTCCTGTCTGGCAGGGTACGTAGAATAGTCTTTTATTTCCCTCGTTTCTTCATTTGTAGCTGGTGAACTCAACATAGCATGTAAAAATACAAGTCACTCATTTCAGCCTGATTTGGTTTTTGAATAAATACCAACCATAGGATTATAAGCCATTTCTTAAAATGAGAGCAGCGACCATTTTGTCCGGTCTGTTATTGATTATTGAGTTTTAGAGACATCACATCTGTAACCCTCGTATGTCTGAAGTGGTGGCCAGCAGCCACCTGGCCTCAGCACCTCTGGCAACTCCTAATCCCTTTCCTGACTCAAAGCATTAGTAAGACAAAAAGATCAAGGTGCCACACATGGGAACTGAGCCTGCTGTGAACAATAGAGCCATGAGAAGATCGATTTATTTCAGCTAAGAGGTAGAGGGATTCAGATAACCCCAGCTGATTTCTAGGCATAACTGGCAATTTCAAACCTTCACAAAACTTGACTGAGGTTTCCCATGGGCTAAGCTTGGTAGGCACATACATCTTGGAAAAAGCCTGTATTCCGTGCTCCTTGCAGAAGCCACTCAGAGCTTGCCCTCTCTCGTTAAAACTAAATGATTTTTTAAGACAAAGCTTTCTGAGCATTTATTAAAGGAGTTCAATCACCTATCAAAGCTGGGCATTCCCACTCGCAGAGTTGCGCAGTGCAACAGTCAGACCCAGAAACGTTTGTGAATTCTTTTCCTTCTTTTTGGGTAGTTGACTCCAGCATAGCTTAGACAACGTAGACTCTGCACAAGCTCTGCAAACCACGGGGCAAGGGCTGGCCAACCATCTAAACACGCTTCCACACACACTGCATCTAATGCCTCGGTACCAGCTGCAGCTACTCACACGAGCCTTGTTAGCCCCAGATTGTTTAGAGGGAGCTGAGCGAGGAAACTTACAGCCCTAGAGCCAGACCAGCTCCTCCTACCCTCTGTGTGATGGGAGACCAAACAGATAACATACAGTGCTAAGCAGGAAGGCAAGACCACGGCTGGTGCAAACACATGGGCCAGAGAGGGGGCTGCTTGCAGCCTCTTGGCTATGCACATCACTGTAATTCCAGAGCAGCAACTGGCTGTGCATGACATTCCTGAGCTGGCTTAAATTCAATTACTCAAATGTTTTGAGTACACAATCTCACCACCTGCTCTATGGAAAGGCATAGATACCCCTGGCCTCCATTCAGCTCCTTGCTTGCTGTCACGGCCTGTGAACCACTCTTGCTGCTATTCTCTGCAAACTGAGTAGTTTATCTTAAAGGTATTTACTTAGACTCATTAATGCTTAAGGATTAATGTTACACCAACACACCTTCCTGCTTCAACAGTTTGGTACTTCTGCAAGGTGTGTAATTATTCACTTTGGCAATATTCAGATTCTTCTTCACAAAAATGCATACAACCATTTTACTATTCCTGGAATGGTGAAGTATAAAAAGAAATGTTTTGTAAACAAAATCCTCAGTTTGCAAAATGAATCTGTTCAGCATGTGATGAGATGCACAAGCTGCTGATCAGCACCTTGTTTCTGGATATTAGCCAGCATGTAAAGCACTTAATCCTGTAGTGTAAGGTCTAAACAGACTGCTCCGTTGAACCCAGTTTGAAGCAGGCGTGCAGAGGACAAATGGGGAATCAAGAATCCACGGGCACTCTTTCGCTTTCAAACTGTATTGTTACTCTTTCTTACAAATGTTTTACAGCTTTCCAGTATCTGTCCTCACTCATCAGCTCACCCGCCCACAGTCTTCAGCCTTGCATGACTCCTGTTGTGAAACTACCTCTGCCACCAGCACAAGGAAATCAGAACACAGACATCACCTCACGCAGTAGTTTTCCACTCGTCGTATTCCAGCACAGTTCAGAAGCTCGCAGCAATTAACATCAGCTTGAGAACAAAGTTGAACCCTCCGAACTCCAAAAACCATGGTAAGTTTTTATTTATGCTATCTATCCTGGAAACTTGAGCTTTGGTTTCTTCCTGCTGATCTCTAGGGGTTACAGAATCATCTCAAAATCTGAACAAATTGCAACGACGTGGAAAAAAATAAGAGTGTCTTCAGCATAAGTCTACGAACGCATGCCATAGCAGAAATGTTTGCCAGCCACCCACTGTTCGGGCACATTTCCCCTGTGGACTCCCAGTCAGGTGAGCAAAGGACTTTGTGTGTTACTCCACAGATGTGAATGCTATCCCTGTCTAGTCACTAGCCTTTGGTCACTAACTCCTTGCGTTACTAAATGAGGACCTAAAACTTCAATTTAAACAAATATTTCTCACCCTGCCTCACTTTATTCCAGCAACCCTGCCAAAAGTAGGCAAGTCTGGAAGCAGTAGTCTTGGCCTGAGAAGGCACTGACTGATCTTGGCCAGTTCAGTCAGGCACTTGGACACCTCTTTTATTTTTATAATCTGAATGAGAGGGCAACACAGCATCACCATAACTGTAGAAAGACAGGAGTACCCAAAGCTGACAACAGCGTCATTAATAATTACTTCAGTGTTTATTTTCTGAAACCTTTATGAACTTATTTAAAAAGCCTAGTCTACTTGGATTCTAACCTTGAACTCTAGCTGCACCTCAAGTGACTGTAACAGTGTTATGGGTGTACATCGACACCACCCAGCTTGCTGACAAGCCAAACTCTCTGATGCAGCTCAAATTTTACAGCCAATGAAGAGCACCACTTCCACAGGTGATAGTAACGGCACCTTCACTAGGCTGATGCCCACTGAGATGTTATTAATCTTGAGAGATAAACTGTATAAGAAGATTTCATGAAAAGAAACAAAAGAAGGGACTTGGTTTTTACAAGGTCAATGAAGTAACATCAAATAGTAGGGGAGAGAAGTTATCAGTTTTGGGGAAGAAAATCTTAGTGACTTATTCTCCCTTTGTACAGTGAAAAACAAGTACTACCCCATCTCCCCCCCTCACCACTCCCCCCCCCCAAAAAAAAAAAATTGGTCAAAATTGTTTTTATTTCTATAAAAGTATCTACGACATGAAGAATTATTCCTAACAGTCACTTTTTCTTATAAGATTGCATATTTG